GAAAATCCTTCCGTTCTCTTGACATCGTGACCTAGGGCAACGGCGAACCCCGAGGCATGATAAAACGGGATGTGCCCGTGACAGCACCCAAACATAACCCTCAGAAGGAGCCAACTCGCCTCTCCTTTGTCCCTTTCTCTATCTCTGTTGGTCCTTCATGTTCTACCCTGTATCTTGATCTCTTTCAGTCCCTCCACCCTGTATCTTGGTCTCTTTCAGTCCCTCTACCCTCTCTCACGCCTTCGAGGAACTCGAGGGCCCGGTTCGTTGACCTCGACCCCTTCCGTTCCCTCTCGACTCCTTTTCTTTCCTTCGCTTTTCCCAACAGAACCGATCACTGGATCCTTCCTGGGCTGCTCCTCTACCTCGCCGATGACTCATGGACCCCGTCCCACTCGTGGAGTTTATGTGTATACTATACTCCTTTTCCAAGGGGTGGCTGAGAAAGACTGGTCCATCCGATAGCGAGACATGGAAACCTAGTGTACTGGGTCAGGTCCCTTTCGATTGAACTCTGACCCGTTCCTGACCCAGACCTGGATCGAAACCGTTCACGGACCAATGTGACTGATACCACTTTCTGGAATATTTCTTTTTAAATTTGTAGAGCCAAATCATTTTAGTGGCGCTTTACCGTTTGTATTTAGAATGGAGGTTTTGGATGTGATCAACTCTGGTAGCGGTGTTTTGGGGGACGTTTCTTTCAGTTTCCTTCGTTTCTGAAGATGCACCGGTTCTTGCGTCGGTCTTCGTTATTTTTCCAAAGTAACTATCGATAGCAGTTAACTGTTTCTTGCAGCAAACAATAGAATTCTCGTCTTTCTAGTAAATAATCAATAACTTTACTAAATCTAATCTAAAAATGGCCAAGAACGGATTGACCGATTTTTTTTACCAAAGTTTCCGATTCTCTTGGATCGAAATGAAAATGAAATGAAGATGAAATGAAACGAAACTATACGTGCCATCAGTAACGTCGACTAGCACTCGAGGGGTGAATTCCACCCCCCTCGGTGGTTAACACTCGGACCCATCGACAATCGACACGGTTTTCCATAGCTAGAAAACATCAACGGAGGAAATTTCACTTCCTTAGTGACCGCTGTCAATGGTATTACCATCATATGAACTCGGTTAATTGAATTGTACCCTCGGAACAAGGGTAATAACCCGCAAAACGACCCGTGGGCTGGGACGTAACGCAACACCCGGATAAACACGCCACGACTGCCAAATATACATACAATACAGGGTGAGTCGCTTAACAATGCCACCTAAATTTATTCACAAACTACTTGTTGTAGAAACAAATGTTTCAAACAAAAGTTGTTCTATATTAAACGGGGTGTATAGTGTGATAATCAGTTTTTTGATATTTCGCTTTTTTATCGAGAAACGAAGGTGACCTTCAGTTTTTGTGTCATAATCTGTAATACTTGATTCTGCAATTTCAAAGAATATTGAATACTGTCAAAAACTAATAATTACCGAGATGTTCGTCAGTGAAGGATGATGGAACTTTTGTGCATAACAAGTCCATACGACACTTGTGTTGGAAATTACTTCTGTTAGTATGTGCTACTAAAAAAATAATAAGTAAATTTAAGTGGTACAGATAAGTAACTCACCCTGTATATGTATAATACGGGACAGCCGGGACACGAGCGTTGAAGTTTATTCAATCACCCGTCTAATTTCACCGCCGCGTCGTGTCAGCCCCGGTGTGGGGACTGAGTCGAATTTCCGGCCGAATTTTGAATAATTCCGACACGGTTAGCATCAAGTTTACATCTAGAATTTTTTTTTAAATGAGCAATCATTTTTTCAGAAAATACAGAGTGGTTAGTAACTGATTGTACAACCGAAAAGGGGGTGATTCTAGATAAAAAAAAATAAGTCGAAAATGTAGAATGAAATTTTTTAGTATGAGGCTCTACTTTCGAGAAAATCGATTTCGAAAAGTAGTAAGTAGAAACCGAATGCAATGAACAGACACACCAGCCAAGGCCTACTCAATTGTACGCGTAGCTAATAGATTTTCAAAGTTGATTTTTTCGAAAACGACACCATTAACAATAATTCCTAAATTTTTAGAATCCTCACAATTTATTCATCCAGAACGAAGATTCGAAATATACAGGTTGATCAAAATCATGAATTCCCACAGTTCCCACAAACGCTACAAGTAAAAAACTGAAAATTCCTTCTTAAGTCCGCAGACCTACAAAATTTCCATAGAACATTCACAACCAAACGCAATAGAGGATTCCCAATAACTTCGAGACAATTAGGAACGATCGTTCGATATTTACTCTGTCTTGAGTCCATCGCTACTCCTTTCCGTTCCGTGAAGGATGTGGAGGGAACGTGGAGGGACACAGCTTCGATCCCCGCGTGTGCCTCTTGTGTGCGTGATGGTTTCTACGTTCATGTGTGTGTGTGTGTGTGTGTGTGTGTGTGTGTGTGTGTGAGGGAGAAGGAGGACAGAGACAGAGATCGTTCGTCGGAAGGAAAGCAAGCACATCGATGGAGGAGCGACCGTAGAGGGCGCCGAGGGGAGGGCCAAGGGAACGAGAGAGCCGCAAATAGATTGGGGAAAAAGTGGGAGAAGGACGGAGCCAAAAGAGAGAGAAAGACAGGAACGATAGGGGTATGAAGGAAAGAACTGGCGAACTCGCAACCGGACTATAAAACTGGCTTGACAAAACGAAGGCGGCGAGAGCACCGCGGAACGATCGGTTTGCTCGTCCGTACACCTCCGAACGAGCTTTGTCATTCTATTTCACTTTCTCCCGCGCTCCGCCCCTCCTCCCGTCGTCCTTCCCCCGCCCCCTCGATCCCCTCGCCCCGCCCCCCGTCTCTCGCGGCGGCCTATCGATTTTTCGAAGCCAGAACGACGCGCGTTCGTTTAAATAAAAGACGCGCCTCTTTGTACACACTTAAGAAATTTCTTTACTCGAGCCTGGTCTTCGTTTTTGTTTTTCACCCTATCGTCTCTCGTCACCGATATTTCGACCGAGTTCCTTCTCGTCCATGTTGTCATCGCGCGCGTATGGAGCCGTTCGTGTGACGTTCGAGAAGTTTTTACTCTTGCCTACGGTCTACAGGGCGTCTTAATGTTTGGTGGTCCAAAGGGCGTTTCAATATTGCGAGAAGTTTGTCTAATAGAGAATATGAATAAGAATATGAATAATACAGTTCTCTCGAAATAAGCAGTCTTTGGAACCTATGTCGAAGCCTCCTCGAACATGTGTTCGAAGTATGATCAACAGTCACAGAGGTAGTCGCTCCAATTCGGTTGACAAGTGTGCATAATGGTTCTACAGGATGTTTTTAAAACAATTCGTCAGGTGTTGGAATATAACCCGTACACAGATCAGATTACAGCCGATGCATTAAGATGTCATGACATCAAAGTATCCAGAGAAAACAATAAACCATTTCACATCGCATTACACGATACGAGTACCGTCAGTTATTACAGGGTGATCCAAAAAGAATGAACTCCTTACATGTATTACTAATCATATACGATCATGAGTGAAATAAAATTTCTTTATTATTGTTATTTTGTCATCAAACCCTGAGCATTTGAAAAGAAAAGTTTAAAGATTCCTCATTGTTAACGATATTCCTTAGTTTGATGCTCTGTCTACTCGAAAGCTTCTCGAAGCCATCGCCAACGGTGGGTCGAACGAAACTAAACGAAACTGCATTGTACAAGCCTTCCCAACCAGTCCTGTTGTTGCCTAGAATTGATACATGCTCACGTGAAAGTTTGATTAATCCATCAGAAACGATGCTTTATCGTATTCAGTAATCTATATAGGGTGGAGCACTTAAAAAGATTACCTATGATTTACGTTGATATTATAATCCATCAACCAAAATCGATATATATTCGAAGACGATCGTGTTTCTATATCTATCACTGTCATGATATTTTAATCATTTTTACAGCAGTTCACGAACCAATAATTTGGACTGCTTTGGTAGTTTTAATGCTAAACTGAATTTCAGTAATTTTACAGAAGATGTAAGATCGCACAAAATCTTTCAAGATGAATCCACTTCAAATATTCAAATATACCATTTATCTTATATTTGATACAAATACCTAATACTTTTCAGCATAAACATAATATTACGTATTATATTCTTCTCTTATTATTATCATGTAGATTTTGATATCATTATTTATCTTTCAAAAGAATTATCCTCATTTCCAACTCAAAGCCCTAAGAAACATTCGTCATTTAGCAATCGTCCTAATACCGTTCGCGTTTTCACGAGGAACCAGGAATTCACGAATTCCCCGCGGAATTCCCCATGTTCCAGCGTCGTCGCTATGGGGTGGGACGAGCCCAAACGACGGCAATTAAAACGGACGTGATAAACGCCGAATCGTCACGCGATAGTCCCACTGGGCGAGAGAAATTGATAGCGTTCGCGGTAGTGGATGTAACTTCTGACCATGAGAAGAACGACGCCAAGAACTGGCGGGAACGCGAGTAGTTCGCTCCCAAATGCGCGTCGTCGAGTTTTCACGTTTTGATTAATGGCTCTATTAGGGCCTGGTTAGAACCCTTTATTTTAATTGGCCCGTGAACGTATCTGTACGCGGCTGGCAAGACAACTTTCGGAATTCCCGTTGTTCGGCGGAGTTGAGAACCGCTGCGTGCTGCATAGTTGAGGAACTATTGCTGAAGAATGGCTCTGGTCCCTCGCTCGTACGCTCTGCAGTGGTTCTCAATTACATTCGAAGTATGATTATTATGGTCCTGATATTGACACTAACACTCTAACACTAATAACGGATTTCAGATTATTTATGTTACAATTACTGAAATCCTAGAGATACTTTCATTGGAATTTATGTTAACCTTTAATTTCTTATACAATTTATATTATAAGTATACAAAATAGGTGTAAGTCCTTGAAAAGGGTGGTTCCTGGTTCGGTAAGCTAATTTATTTTGTTCCCTTTTTTTCTGTTCACAGTCACCGGGGGTGATGCCATTTTACGGCGACTCCAGCCCCGGCTTCCGGCCAGCGGCCGGCTTCGGGAATACCGTTTGGCACCAGGGAGTCACTCCCGTGGGAACGGTCGCTGTTGAAACGTCAGCAGCGCCGTGGCCACCTCAGCAGTTCATTCAACAAATTCCGGCCCCGAATCAGCTCGAGGAGCTGAGATACCATACCCAATACACCACCACCTCGCCGTACCATCCGCAGCCAGGTAAATTGAAGAACGAATCGTGTTTCCACGGGAATTTATGAATGGACCCCTATTGGATCTCCACCGAAACTTACGACCTTCAATTTCACCAGCCATGAAGACTCGGTCCTCGACGACCTTATATCCATAGACATTTGTACCTGATTGAACGGCGGATTTTATGCATTCGTAGCATTTATCGAACGTTTGATCAAAAAATTTTCCATTTGGTCGAGTCACACAAATATAACCGCGGATGATGATGCATTTTTAACGTTACCTGACTTGCAGAACGTGGCAAAATTGAGATTCCAGGAAAATTTCAGAACATTTATGCATTATTACTGTCGTATTAAAATCCTCGGTATAGGGAATAGAATTCTGTGCAATGCTTATTTTTTTTCTGTTTAGTCTAAGTAACGTCTGTTTTCCTTTTCTAAATTCAAAATTAGCGAAAGATACTTAAGAGTTCGATTCTTCATCCGTTGTTCAATTTACACGTTCATTATTATTATGTCATTTGTCTATGGCGAATGTTACTTATGATGAGTTTCAATTATTTTTCCTGCACGGTTCTGTACAGCCCCGAAGACAATTATACCCTAGAAATTTGTTTAAAAAATTATTTTTTAATGAATTATTAAGTCTAGACCACAGTCGTAACTCGGATGATTTAACCCGAATATGCCCAGTGTTTTGGTGTAAAGGCACCCAACAGATGTCTATATTTTATTGTCTTTCAAGTTGCACAGTTGAATCACCTACTAAAAAAATACTTAGAAACTACCAAGAGGCATACTAAAAATTGAGACAATTCTTCATAAAATATTGTAAAGGATATTAAATAAAACAGTGTTACGAAAGAAAAAGTACACTTTCAGAAGAAAAACGTTTTCGGGTATATCGGGATTAATTAGTCATCGCTCGATTTTAGAGTGTGGTTTGACATTACCTTCGAGACCTGAGAAATGCAATTGGACGGTATTAGTACCGCAGATCTGAGATATTCCGCGGAATCAGCAGCCGCGAATTTTCTGATTGCAGTCGCGTATCAACAGCAGACTTTCATTACGACGGATCAGTCGGCGTTTCAACGTGCCGGGGCGACAGGACAATACACAATCACGGGGCAACCCTCGCCCTTGCCGCCTGTAGCCGCACAAACGGTACCGTCGGCAGCTCAGAGGCCGTTAAACGGTCAATTCATGGATCCTGCTGCCACAGCGACCCAATCAGTCGGTTATGAAAGGCAGGATTACGTGAACGGTTACCAACAGCAGGTACAATTACACTTGAATCGTTTTTAATTAAAAGGAACAGTACATCTTCATAAAATATGCTGCGGAATGTGTGCAGGATGTTTCGAAATCACATGTACAGTCAGTCCAGTCTCTCTCGTCATCAGATTCGAAGAACAGAAACGAATAGAGCCAGCCAATATAATTTCACAAGTGAACCAAAAAATTCTTTCGAAAGAGAGACACTTGAAACATCAAACATCAAACCGTGTAGTATATCTTATAAAGAGAAATATATACATATCTATATATTGTATATGTATATGTATAAGAATAGGCGTCTGATGAAGTGACCGACATTAATGCTGCAACCCTCAACAACCGATTTTAAGTTATAGACCTGGAATGATGATCTTTCCAGGACGTGACGATGGCCCCGCCGCCTTCGACCACCCCCACGAGTCGCAGCAGCTCGGTCCATATGGATAATCAACAACAACAACAACAACAGGCCTCCCAGCAGCCCCAGCCCCAGCCCCCGCAGTCACAGACCGACACGCAGGTGAAGGGATTCGCGACGATCGCCGCGAGCAATGTGTCGGGAAACGAGATGCCTGGGTATCCACTTCAACCGGGCCCACAGAGTTTACACAACTCTAACGGATATCCAGGCTACGTGGAAATGGGTCAGCAACAAGTACAGAACCAATGGCAGCAGCAGCAGCATGTGGCGCAGCAGTCGCCGCACCCACAGCAGCAACAGCAGCAACAACAACAACAACAGCAGCAGCAGCAGCACATGCAGCGACAGCATTCGGTGGCTGACGGTGGCCAACGACACATATGGTCCGACACTAGTACCGGTGCCAAGATGAATAGCGTGAATAACAACATGAACTGGTCAGACGGGACGATACAACAGCAGCATCAGCAACAACAGCACCAGCAACAACAACATCAGCAGCATCAGCAGCAACAACAACAGCAGCATCAACAGCAGCAACAACACCAGCATCAGCAGCAACAACAACAGCACCAGCAGCAACAGAAGTCCCAACAGCAACAAACCATGCAGAGTAGTAACATGAAATCGCAGGATCAGCAACAGAGTATGCAGATGCAGGGACAACAGGAGCTACCCAGGCCGGCCAGTCACATGAGCTGGGAGAACGGTAGCGTGAAAGAGCCCCAGACTCCTCAGTCGTGGTCGGACAATACCGAGAACCAGCAGCAGCAACAAACTCAGGGAAACTGGTCCCGGCAGAGTCCGAAGCTGAGGGACACCCAGAATCCGAGATTGACGCCATCTAGTCAACAACAACCGCAGCACCAGGCCTGGCTTCAGCACTCGCCGAAGCTGTCGGACCATCAACAGAATCCGTCGTCTCACCAGAACGCCAGGATGACGCCATCCGGTGGTCAGCAGCACAATTGGCAGCAAAGTAGCCCGGAGATGCAGCAGAACACGGGTCAACAGAATCCAAGGTTAACGCCATCCGGCCAGCAGATGCAGCAACAACAGACACCGCAGCAGCAACAACAACAGCAACAGCAGCAGCAGTGGCCGCAGCAAACGAAAATCGAGAAGAGTCCCAGGCTCACACCGTCCAACCAGATGTCCTGGCCAGACACGCCCACTAGTCAACCGAATTGGTCGCCGAACAGTATAAAGAGCGACGGTAGTCAGCAGCCGCAGCAACAGTGGCCCGATTCCCAGCCGAGTCCTAGGAGGACGCCAGGGCATCAACCGGCCGCGTGGCAGTCTCAGCAACCGCCCCAGCAGGAGAACAAAATGGAGAGCCAGATGTCGTGGTCACCGAGCTCGGTGACGGAGAACCAACCCACCTGGGGACAACAGGCGACCAAGCAGGATATGCAAAACTCAGGTGAAAGAGTGCTCTGGCAGCAACAGCAGCAGCAACAACAACAACAGGCGACCGATACCAGTAAACCGAACGGGTTCGCGGATAACCAAGATGCTCAGGAGAGTAACGTATTTGCTCAATCTAATCGTGTAAATTTAAACAGCCGACTGAAATCAATGATACTGAACAAGCAACAACAACAACAACAACAACAACAACAACAACAACAGCAGCAGCAACAACAGCTACAGCATCAACAACAGATGCAACAGCCGCAACAACATCAGATGACCCACCAGGAGCAGCAACATCACAATCTCCACCATCAGATGCAATCGCAGCACGTGAACAGCAACAGCGGTTCGAACGGGGATTACCATCACACGGACGATCGTGTACGGGACGAGAACACGGAGAAGCAACATCAAGAGAACAAGACCGATCAGTACATGAGCCAGTCGAACATCATCTCGTTGGCGCAATCGAACGAATCCTTGACCGGTAATTTTTTATTGCATAGCCACCACCCTCGGGTCGATAGTTTGCCCGACGGTGGTGGCTTATGGGAATGGTCAGGAGGAGGCGGTACACCGTTGAACAGGGCCGATCAGCTCGCAGAAAACGGTATAACGTCTATCGACAGTTTCATGAAGTTCACGGATGAGAAGACCCCGGTCCAGCTCGTGAAAACCGGCGACAAACCGGAGGATCGTGGCGAACCGCGTGAACATGACGAGGAGATCTGGAAACGGACCGATAAGAGTACAACAGACAATCAAACCGAGGATAAGTCCTTCCAGAGTGAATTGCCGGTGACACGGATCGAGAACGAGGGAAATTTCGACGAGTGTCCGACGAATCCAAGCAAGAACGAAAAAGACGCGACGGAAGGGGAGGACCGTTTCAAGAATCAAGAGACATCACCGTCACGGTTGCCGTTGGTGAACGAAGACATGGACCAGTCCTACGCGGAAAGCACTGAGAAGACAACATCCACCATGGACAACAACGGGACGAGCTGCGATTCCTCGCAGATCATCAAGCAAGAGACGATGATCGGTGACTATGGTTGCTCGAGCTCGGAATGCGCCCCATCGCCAGCTGCCTCGTCGAAGAGCGAGGGTTATCAGCCGAGGGAGATCAAGATCGAGCCCGATCTAACGTCCATGGACGGGAACGATTATAAGTTCCGTGGGGACGGCGGTCCGGCCAAAGTGTCGCCCGGTGTCGGTTCCTGGTGTTGCCGTCGAGGCGGCACCGAGCAACCAACCCCCGAGCATCTGCGCGAGGGCTGTTGCCAGGGTCTGCAAACACGGGACGAGATACTGGCCGACTCGCCCGCGGAGAAGACGGAGAAAACCGAGGGCAATACCGGTGGTGGTAGTGGTGGTCCCCAGAGTCCCCGTAACAACGTCGTCGCGCCGACCACGAAACTCCAAGATCATTTGGAGAAACTGAAGAACAATATGAGGACCGAAGTGCCGGACTGCAACTGCTTCCCAGCGGATGTTGTTACACGAGAAAAATCGAATAATAGAGACCAATATATAGATGAGAAATGTATATTCGTACGAAAGTATATATATACACCACTGTAACTAATAATTACCGGCCGAGACATACACCGATTGTTGTAAATGTGTATCATCAGCAAAAAAAGAAAAAAAAAACAAAAAAAATATATATATACAGAGATCTCCATATATATATAGACAGTGACCCAAAGATGGAACATGCACGTGTGTATACCTAATTTAACCCCCCTTTCTCAGGGGGTATACCTACAATACACGTGGCATAAATGTTTCCGCTTCTGTTGCTTCTCCTTATCGTTGAAAACAAAAAAAAAAAAAAAAACACACGTCCGGGTTTCGTAAGTAAAAATGAGGTGTTCCAACCACAAAGGTCCGCCGGAGCCCGGCTCGTACTACACGCATCTCGGGGCGGCCGCGAGCCTGCCCGATCTACGGAACGATCTCGAACGACGAACCGGCCTTAAGGGAAACGCCATTAGATTCGAAAAGGTCATCTACACCGGAAAGGAGGGGAAAACCACTCAGGGATGTCCGATGGCCAAGTGGGTAAGCGAATTTAAAACCGTGTGTGTTGTTCAGAGGGCTCGAAGACGAGAGTCAGTCAGTCACCCAATCACCATCACATCCTTTTCACCTCATTCTAGGCCCCTCCCCTATGAGTGTGTATGTGCGTGCCCAACCACTAATAACGTGTTCGTGTGTGTGTGTGTGTGTGTGTGTGTTTTAAATTCAATTTGTAATTTAGACGAAATCTTTAGGAATTATTATTATTATTTATAATATATTAATGAATAATTTAATACGGCGATCCACCCACGTTACTATTGTCGAACTCTTTCAGAATTGATCGAGTTGAAACAGTAGAACCTGTACACACTTGTAGAATCGACCAGTCAATTTTGTTTCGCGTAATTCCCGCCATGTTAATAAGCGGTGTACCCATTTTTGTAGTGTCGAAAATTAATTTATGTTAGTGTAACTGTAATATCTTGTAATACGGTAATAAATTTATATAAACACCCCGTGAATAACGAAACTGAACCGGTACATAGGTTAGGAACTTGTTCGTGTTGATACCACGGTTTTAATAGTTTCTTTTTCTTCGTACGCCACGAGAAAATTTTTTTTTTAATATATTCGATCGATTCCAGCGTATACCGACCTCGAATAATTTATTTCACGCGAAACTTATGTTTTCTTTTTTAAGTCGTCCTTCGAACGAGATTAGTTTTTAAGATGTAGTCACGTGTTTTGAAACGTACTTGTTCGTAGCGAAGCGCATGTAACCCTCGTATTTAATTATTATAATTCTTTGACCGTATAACAAACACAACGAGATCTATGTTCATTTTTTACTTTAGCGCTCACTCGTTTTTAATATAACGAATAAAACGGTAAAATAAACGATAAGTCGAAACTTTGTCGACCCTTTTAAATACTCATTTAACAATAAATACGAATTAAATGATAAATCGTTTGTCTTTGTTCATTATTAAATTCTTATTTAACAATGAATAGAAATTAAGTAGCGTGTAAACCGACAAACGTCTAGCGAGTAATAAATAGTCAATACAAACGAATTTAATATATTTGTCGGCTAAGTTGAAAATACATCAATTGTTTTTGTAAAACCCGAAACAGACCGTAGAAATACACAATAAATCGATTTTTTTAAAATTCGAAATTACGAGAGTCTCCTCTTTGAGTGTTCCCGCGCGCAACCCCAAACTAGAGATGGGCAAATTCATTATCTAGATAAAGAGTCTCGAATACCGAATAAAAGTTACAAAAAAAAAAAATACTTCATCATATTTCAATTGATTAAACGTGCAAATACCAATTTTTCTAACAAAATAATACCTTCCCCTAAATAAGCAGACCCTTGTGACAAACAATTATTTTACCTTAACCCTTTCGACGTTTATGTCGAATATACTCGTCATGAAAAGATGGCAGTTCTTTGCTTATTGACGAGTATACTCATCTCTCTACGACTCTTTAAGCAAGAAAAATTTGCATTTGCCATTCAAAGTAAAATTTAGGCAGAACAAAAAACATGTTCATAATTTTAACACATTTTAGTAATTCGAATAATATTCTGCCCAACTCTGGCGGCCCCACAAACTCTTAATCCCCTCGAGAATCAATTCGAATCATTCGCCAAAATCACTCTCACTTTCTTTCTGTCTCTCTCACTCTCTGTATTCCACATTGGTGACGGAGAATTGTAACATCAGTGATTCGGTAGATAATCCGACGATCCGGTCTGGACGAGAAGATCCTGACCATCGTGAAACACCGTCAAGGACACAAGTGCCCGACAGCTTGGATCGTCGTGGCGATGGTCGCATGGGAAGGAGTGCCGACCCACGAGGCCGATCGGATCTATTCCCTGTTGAGCCACAAACTGAATCGGTTCGGTCTACCAACGACCAGACGATGCGGCACGAACGAGCCGAGGACCTGCGCTTGCCAAGGCCTCGATCCTGACAGCTGCGGTGCAAGCTTCTCATTCGGCTGTTCCTGGTCCATGTATTATAATGGTTGCAAATACGCCAGAAGCAAAACCGTCCGTAAATTCCGTTTGTCAGTACGAACAGAGGTGAGTGGATCCTATTTTCTATGGTTCTTAAAATGCTACCCTGGGTTCTTTTGAATATCGAGAGTGGAACTTTAATTTCGAACTATTCGAATAATTCGAATAATTTGATATTTATTAAAATACGTTAAGTATCCGAATACTTCGAATAATTCGAATAGTGCGAAGTATTCGAATAATTTGAATAATACAGAGTAATCGAATAACAGAAATTGTCCGATAATGATTCTAATTTAACGTTTAAAAAACAAATAATTGTTAAGACCAATGTGAAAAGAGTTTCACGATAAAACTGGATTTTTCAGAAAAAAAATTGTAAAATGTTCGAGCTGTAATATTTGAAGATCTTGTGTTCGTTCCAGGAGCAAGAAGTCGAAGAAAGAATGCACGTCCTGGCGACACTTTTGTCGCCGCTTTACCTCAGCCTTGCACCGGAGGCCTTCAACAATCAGACGCAGTTCGAACGGGAGGCGAGCGAGTGCCGTTTAGGATTCAAACCGGGCCGACCGTTTTCCGGTGTCACCGCTTGTATCGACTTTTGCGCGCACTCTCATCGTGATCTTCACAACATGAACAACGGATGCACCGTGGTCAGTATAACCTGAATGATTAAAATTACCCACTCGAGGTTGTTCGGAAATTTTTAGAGGTGTTTATAAGGTTGATTTTGAATCTACAGGTGGTGACCGTGACGAAACATCGATCTCTGTCTAAACCGGACGATGAACAATTGCACGTGCTTCCCCTTTACATAATGGACACCACCGATGAGTACGGATCGAAGGAAGGCCAGGAGGAGAAAGTTCGCGCCGGACATGTCGAGGTTTTGACAAAGTAAGGGAACTTCCTTGTTGTAGAATTTTTCTGCAGTTAACTGAATCCTTCAGTGATTAGATAGATTCTCAAGTGTTAAGCCTCTAGACCTAAGATCCGACCTCTTTTTAAATGATCCGTGTCGTATCTAGTGGTGGCTCACTATTCAGATGTGTTTAAAGAACATCTGACAGAGAAATCTACACGGCTGAAGTTCACTTCCGAACAATTCGATTTAAACAATCTGATAACGTAGCTAACTCCGAGCATAGGGATCTTCAGACCAAGCATGTGTGAAACAAAGTTTATCCGTAAACCCACCGCTAGTTGTATCCTCCGCTAACACTTTAGAATCCAGTCAGAATTGCAGCAGTAACAATAGAAACAACATATTCGTAAACACTTGCTCGTCGCACAGATATCCCTGCGAGGTCCGAGTCAGATCGGTTCCTCTTCAGCCCTGCAGACGCCACGGGAAGAAGCGTAAGGAAGACGAGCCGGACACAGTGAGCAACAAGAAAGACGGTTCGAAGGTTAGCAACGAGAAAGTATCCGATCCGGGCCGCGTGCCGATTCATCATCAAGATCCGGCCAGACCCCATCAAATGAGGGACCCGCAACTGTCCCTGGAAATGGCGTCGATGTTCGAGGGAATGGACGCGCAGCTGCAGAGCTCTCAGGTATCGTCCACGGTTCTAGACAGTCCGGTGTCCATGTATCAAGGTTGGGGCTATCAGAACGAGCAACAATGGGGACGAAACGGTTGGCTCGATCAACGCAAGAACAACTGGTTGAATCCATGGGGCGAGTACTCGTTCGGTGGTTTGGAGCGTGACGCGAAGGTCGACCCGGATAGCACCAGTCTGGACGATATAAGGCCTAGAAGCGCAGTTTCCCAGGACGAGCACCGACCAGGCTCCAGAAATCTACCGAATTCCCCCATGGAGTCGCCAAGGAACTGCTATCCCCATTCGCCGAGAGCTCACCCAATATCGCCGAGAAGCTCGCACGCGGGAACGCCCACCGATGCTTACTCGATGTCACCCAGAGCTTGTCCACCGACGCCGCAGGATCAGAAAATGACAACTTCGCCGAGAAACACGTACCCAGAGGCCGGCTACCCGCCTCCCTCACCTAGAAATTATCCGCAAGCGTACGACAATAGACAAGGTAGCGCGTCCCCGAAGGCAGGCTCATTTCCGTCGCATTTGGATCAAAGAAGTCTGCTCATCCGATCGAATCAGCCCCATAATAACGTGAACAGTCTTCGCAACGTTGTCGGACAGGCCTGCGACCAAACGAAATTACAGTTCTCGAAGCTACCGCCGCAAGATTCTAGTCAGAAGTATCCCGTGACGCAGAATTATTTGGACGCCCAGAAGTCGCAGGCCGAACAGTTCTCGAATCGGGCGCAACAGGTACACTACCAACAACAGCATCCTGTTGTTCACCCGGCGAAGAATTTCCCGTATCAGGGTCAACATCATAACAACAATACCAACGACATGTTCGCCGGTGGTCTCTCGGTGTCACCGTGCATGGAGAACGCTAGTCACAAGCCGTACAGCAGCGGCGGCAGCAGTCCCAACCTATTGCTTCATAGCTCGTCGAACTTAGGTGGCCATCAGTCGAACGATCAGAGTTTAGGATCGATCGACCAGAGGAAGTACCGTCAACAACAGAAGCCAGAACAGAAAACCGGAATGAATCAAATGTCACCAGCGCCGTCTGATCACGCGGGTGGAGGAGGAGGAGGTTGGAACATGCTCGGTTCCTGGTACCCCGATCAGGCCAGGCCTTCTTACGATCAGCAACAAGGATTCAACGAGCAGGTTCACGTCGAAAGGAGTCCTCAACATCATCAGGTGCCGATGGATCACCAGAAAGCATTGAATTGGACAGAGAGAATGCAACAGCCGGACCAGTCGAAGCTACACGGTTGGGAAACGCCTACCGATCCGTCGCCGTTCCGTGTTCCGAAGGGTAGACCTCCATCGAGGACAGCGTCCAATCAGAACCCAACGGACAATACATATCAGAATTCTTCCAACAGAACGTTCCTCAAGCCCCAGGACCCGGCTCGTAACGTGTACGCGGACAGTTTAAGCAATCACGCTCCGAGCAACAGTACGCCGAGCAATCAACGAAGACCGGACTGGCCGGAGGACAAAACAAAAGACGGATTCCACGAGGCGGCCAGACAGACAACGGGCAATCCGAACAACGCGAACTGTTTCCCGTGGCCGGAGGAGATGAAGCAGGTGCAGGACTTCCACGCCGCGATGCCTGGCTTGGGGCATCCCCACGCATCGTTCCCCCAATACAGCTATCCAACGTATCCCGTGTTCGACAAGCCTTACACGAACACCTGGGACGGTTACAACTACCATCAGCCGTATCATCATCCGCAAACGGCCGAGTATCCGTCCCAATTCTACCAGCAACCGAAGCGAGAAGCCTGTTTCCCGTCGCCGCAGTACCCCTATCAAGGTGTCCCAACGCCCTATCAGGGCCTGAATCCCGGCTGGGCCAGATGGGAGACACCTCGATGGGACATCTACGGGCCGCCGCCGTATTTCCCGGTGATCCCAGAACCACCGCCGAAGGCTGAACCATTGGGCGAGGTTGCCGACTACAGCGACAACGAGGAGTGTTTCAAAGACTCGCAGATGGGCGGCGTGGCGATCGCTCTGGGCCACGGTAGCGTGCTGTTCGAGTGCGCGAAACACGAGATGCACGCGACCACCGCTCTCAGGAAGCCGAATCGGTTAAATCCGACCAGGATCAGCCTAGTGTTCTATCAACACAGAAACCTGAATCGACCCAGACACGGTTGGGACGAATGGGAGGAAAAGATGCGTCTGAGGAAGCTAGGCGTCGCGAGCACCAACGCAACAACAACGACAAGTACATCCTCGTCCACCGTCTCGCAGCCATCCACACCGTCTACTCCGACCAGCCCAGCAATTATCAACGACAAGTCCACACCGATTCCGCATATTCCGAACGTGCCCAGCTCGCAGTTCATGATGCGATCGCCGACGTACACCACGATGACCTGGACGACCCTGTTCCCGATGCATCCGTGCATGATAACCGGTCCTTACCAAGAGGGCGGGGCGATCGGATGAGTGATCGTCGGGGGCCACGGTTCGAACCATCGATGATGAACCGTGGCCGCCAGGGGGATCGGATCGATCTCGTCGCTGAACGCACGGAGCTGATCCACGAGCGCACAGGGAAACCTAAAACCCGGAGTTTGTGATGATGCTCGACGGGGGACCAATGGTTTGGATCAACAGCACAACAGAAAAGAGGAGGAGTTCAATAAAACGGGTGACTCTTTCTCTCTCGCTCTCTCTCTCTCTCTCTTTCACTTTCTCTCTCTCTCTCTCTCTTTCTCTTTCTCTTTCTCTCTCTCTCTCTTTCTCCCAGGGATCAAAAACACCAAAGCCGTCACCGGAAACCGACAAAATGGGAACTTGTTTCTCACCTCTCGATGAAAGCTATCCATCGTCCTTAAGATGTATGTGTATAGAGAGTTATGAGAGTAGTATATATATATATATAATAGTAGAGGAGATGGTTCAAATATGGAAGATGAACACGAGGATGACGAAGAGGCGATCAAAAAAACATGGAACGAGAACGGAGCTCGGAGAGACGGGAGACAGAGTTATAATCGGGGCTTCCCAATTTTTTATATCGATCTTTTTACACGAATACATGGACAGCGAGCAGCAGCAGCAATGTCCCGAAGCCGTTCGAAGAGGCTGAAGAATGGAATTGTAGAGGGGGGAAGGGGGCACGCGCGAGAACCGTGGTGACACTGGAATTACCTCTTGTTTGATCGTGGTTGTGTGTTCACGCACGGTTGTTAACCGGGGATAACGGAACCGGGACACGCGATTTAGGCTGGGAGACTCGATAGAGTAGAAAACCAGGCTAAACCGATGGGGATGACTTTAGAGGCGGGAACGATGTAATGGATGAATGGGGAACGTATCAGATTGTGTGTACATTTTTTCATTTGTTTTCCTTTATTTTTTTTGTCCTTTTTAAATGGTTTCGGTAGAGTCGTAATCGTGTCTAGCTAGTCCAAGCCTACAGATCACAGTAACAAGTTTTCACGCGCCGGTACAAATGTATTTTACTTTTTGTACAAAACACGCTGATCTAAACGTTGTATAATCACACGCAGATATATGTATATGTATATATATATATATACATACACATATATATAGGGGTCGTCGTTCTGCCATTTCTTATTATTTTGTCGTTTCCGTGCACGTGTTGTCCTTGTTTGTTTTTAGCAATATACCTGTACCCTTGGACAGGGTACAACTCCAGCCCCATAAAGCAACCATACCCCCCCCCCTAACCTAAAAGAAAGAACGTTAGTTTCAAGTTGGATTACTTTGTGAATGTCCGTTTGCACAATCTCGACGACACACAAAACATACACACGTACACACACACATATAGATACAGTACATATAAATACATACACATGAAAATGATCTCAAGTTTTTAAGCTAATTAATTAAACGATCATTAACAACGTTTAATTTTCTTTCTTCCTTCTCTCTCTATCTATTGTACACACCACGTATCTCTTCCTCTCTCTCTCTCTCTCTCTCTTGTTTGTTTTCGTTCGCCTATTTGTACATTATGCGCTTGTTAATCATCGTGTATTTATTATGTAAACGTTTTTCTATTCTTTTTTTTTTTTGCACGTGTTTGCACCCACGTAGGCTCTATTATCACCGTGTACCAATGTAAACGGAGGGGGGGGGAGGGGGAGAGTAGAGTTGTAGGACAACCCCCATCTCCCCCACATATACACATATTTTATACACAATCGCGGGTGTACACGCGAAATTATTAATTTACTAACAATTCTCGTCCTTCGGGTCGGTTGAGTACAAAGCATCCTTTATCTAACCTAAATATCGACAAGGGTAAACGCCGCCGAGCAGTTAACGCGGGAAAAGAGGGGACACACGTATACACACACACACACACACACACACACACAGCTATATATATAAAACAAAAAACAGGGGCACAGCCGCGAGAATAGAGACAGCCAAAAAAGCCTATCTCCGATTTTGTCGTCTTCTTCGTACCAGCTACGTTCTTCCGACTGTTTTCTCCAAGCCTTTTAGAGTCTAGCACTCGATCCCCGCACGTTATATGTGTGTACACATATAGGGATCGTCTTCACGGTGTGTAGAGCCTCTTCGCGTATGGACAGGAGAGGCCGTATTTTTTTTCTGTCGAGTAACGCATAAAACGAACGAGATAGAACACATTTTACCGTCGTGTCGCGTAAACTAAGGAGAAAAGAGTGTAGGATACGAGGGGTTCGAGGAACAACCCTCTTAATTACATTTTTTTTTTCTTTTTCGAAGTGTAACGGTTCTCTGTAAGAAATCCATCGACCAAAAAACGACGGCGAGATAAATCACACTTACGAGTGGTTTGTTTTACCTGCGTGTCGATATTGAATCTCTTTTATTATCCCACAGGTATTTAAATCCTTGTAAATAGAATCTCCCACCCCCATCCACCAACCCCCTTAGATCTATTATATATGTACTTTTTTGTCTTGCAAATCGCGTTTTACAATTTTCTCCTCCGTTTCTCCCTTCTATGTTTTTTCTCTTTCGTATTTTTTTTTTTTTGGTAATCAACCTTTTTATCGTAGCGATCGATAGGGATTAAGGATCGACCCGTATATCGTGTCGTCGTAGTCGTCGGTTAAAAAACGAGCGAACGGAACGAGAGAGACGCGACAGAGGAGTAAGCACACAGGCGGGGACAGCGTTCTAGGGGTGGCGAGGGTAGTGTAACTTTCCACACACACATACACTCACTCACACATACATACATACATACATACGTATCCGAGATCAACGATCGATCCACATTTATTTATTCGTTTCGCGACAGGGGAATATGTAAGCAACGTTTTTCTCGTGAATCCAATTCCTCGACCCATCATCCCCCCACCCCTCTTTTTTTCGAGACCTAGACGACCGAAAGTGGGGACGGTAGGTATCGGTGTATTGAGCCTCGTACGAACGAAACAGAAAGATTCAGGGCTTCGAGGGAAAAAGGGTGGGCTGTGGTTCGAGGAAGAACACGTCGCAGAGCGAAGTAGAAGCGAAAACAGGTGTCAGAAAGGGGGTGTGTAAAGTGAATGACAGGCGGTCCGATTACCCTCGCCCGTCGGAGTATCGTAAGGAATCATTAATATATTATCATTCATTAATTATCATAAACGTAGTGTGGTAAATAATAATTAATTAGCGGCGAAACAGTAATAATTAGTGATATAATCTAATTTAATCGATTATTTATTAATTAAGATTTTTTTTTTTGGTCTAATTCAAACGCGTTGTTCTAGTTGCTAGTGTCTATTAGTTCCGTGCTGGTTTTGTTTTTCTTGTCCTCTTCTTTTCTTTGACTTTCGAACGATCTCTCGTTCGGTGTACTTTTTTGTAAACTCAGCCCCACTCCCCCACCCCCTGAGATCGACAGTCGATAGCAGAATTGGGCAGAATTTTATTCGAATAATATATACTATGAAAGGCAGCAGTACCTGAGGTCCGTCATCCTGATCATTAAACAATTAATGACATTCGATAACTATTTTCCAAGTGGCTACTCATTCGAGAAGAAATATCGTCTTGCTATAAAAATTCTAATTCCCACGTTTATGATATTGAAAATGGCGAAATACTTTTTCTTTATCTTTTACTGATTGTTCAAAATTTTTTACCTAGATAATGAATTTGCCCATCTCTGATCGATAGTAATGTGCGGCGGTGACGACGCCGAGCCTTTCCGTGGTTCAGTTTTTCGTCGAATTCTATCCGTGACTTTTACGTTTCTTCTTCTTCGAAAAAGAAAACAAAAGAAGGAAAATCGTCCAGCAGGACGTTGTTAACCCTTAACCGCTGTGGTGGGGTCTTGGAGTACCCCAAACGGTATAAAAAATGTCAAAATTTCGTTCTCTATTTTTTTTAGGTGAATCCTTATCATTTTCCAGTTTCACAGTGGTGGACTAATTACACTTAATCACACTTCGGACAATAGACCAGATTTAACGTATTCGAATTTCGCCGTAGCAGTTAAGGGTTAATTTCGCAACTTCTTCTTAACACTAGACTTTTTTCCTTCTAATGCTTTCTTGCTGACCTCGATCGTTTCTCTGTTTTTTACGTATTTTTAACGCGTGACTCCTAGGGTCCCTAGATCTTGTCTGAAAAGAAAGGGAAAAACAAACACGAGAACACACGATCGTAGAGATCTATTTTTTCATTCGTGCAACCATATACTACCGTTTACTTATCTTCGAGAAAACGATTCGAGATTCGATCTCATTCACAGTCCAGTCAATTATGCGTCGCGATCCGCCGCGAGAAAAACGAAAGAAGAACGATGCTCTGAAACCCGCGAAACACTCTATGCGTCTGATCGATTTTTTTTATGACAATTTTACGATCCATCCCCTTAAAAATCGATGTTTAATATATTATTCGTATCGTTTCTTTCCCCTCGATCACGTGACGATCAACAATAACGAATCCGCCCACGCCCAAGGTTTCATTAAACTCCTCCGAACTTTCGTAACAATTCTAAACCTCGACGGTTTCTCGATAAATCTTTAGATTATCCACTTGTAATAGAAACGGACGTGTCGAAGAGAAAATATTGGGCGAAAAGAGGAAAGAAAAGCAAGGACACAGGAGGGATGATGTTTAAGGCAATAATGGGGGAAAGAAACTGAAAGAAACTCGGCGCTCGTTGCTGCTTCTTTTTTCCATTTTCTATTTTATTCCGATCTGATTTTTCTATCGACGAGACGCGGAACATCGGGATTCCAACGCGACGATGCCAAAATAGTATTAAAGGTAACAATAATTAGAGGGAGGGGAGGGTAACGATGGGAATTCATTATTCGCGAGTAGAGCTATCGTCGTTTGGTGGACAGAAAATATAGCGAACTCGTGACGACTTTTCCGAATAGAAATTCTAATCGAGAAGATCTCGAAAGTTCTCATTCAAAGGCATAGAAAATGAAACCATTGGCCTCGGTATAAAAATCGATGGCAAAGATCGATCGAGAAATGGAACAAAGATCGAATCGAAAACCATGGGCATAGCCTGGTTATAAATAGGGGGTGGGGGGAGGGAGGGCAAAATTTATTTTGAGGTAAATTTCATATTATTCTTTTCCACTGGGGGGAATCCACTTTTTTCCCTCTAGGGGTGCCCTCCCCCTTTACCCCCCAGGCTACGCCGATGTACGTGAACCTTACGAGTTCGCTATAACATTGTCCTTCGATCGAGGGTAACGAGCGAGTGAATATCGATGATCCTTCGAAAACAAAAATATTATAAGGGGGGACACGCGTAAGAAAGGACGAACGAAAGAAAGAAAACGAGAGAGAAGAAAGGAACGCGGGATTCGGACGTTGCCGGTTTGTACATTCTATTTTGCACGGGGAAAACAAAGATTTGCGAGTCGCTGGAGGGGGTGGGGGGGGGTGAAGAAACGAGAGAGGGTTACGATTGTCGAACGAGAACGAAACGGAATCGCGAGACGCGCAGAAGTTGAGTACGAAAGAAAGAGGTTGAAAACTGTATTTTTTCTTCCAATGCCAAAAAGATGCCATTTTGTTTTGTACGAAAAAACCTATGGAAAAACTTGCAAAAAAAAAAAAAGAAAGAGAAGAAAAAAGATAGATAAATAAATAAAAGTAATAATAATAATAGTGACGGAGGTGAAATAAGGGAACGATGATTATGATGATTATGACGATGGGGTCTGTGTGAAAGTTAGGGAAATGCGATGCGAAGCGGGGAGGAACAAATTTTTTAAATAGTTCGTAGCAAACGTATATATGTAATTACGGCGAGAAAATACAAAAGTGAGGATATATACAAGCACACCACAAATATACTCGATGTATATTCTTGTCTCGTGGGGGGAAAAAGTAATAAGAGAAAATTATGAACACTTATGTCCGCCTTATGATAACGATTTAATGCAGATTGAAACAATAGGATCGTCGATCGTTACGAATCGACAGACAAAAGGAAAATAAATAGTAATAACGGTTGATTGACGGGTTAATGTTTTGTAGTGATCGCGGCGGAGTGCTATTGTCCCGTGTAATGGGGAACCGATTGAATGGACGAAAGAAAGAAAGAAAGAAAGGAAAAAATGAAATTAAGCGAATCGTATAGTTTTTAATTGCGAGCCGCACCCAGGGCTGCGAAAATCGTGAGACGCAACGCGTATTTATACCTTTCATGATTATTATTATTATCATTATTATTATTATTATTATTATTATTATTATTATTATCATTATATAAATGAATGATATATGGCGATCGCGCGTATGTATATACGAGCCCTTGTGCACGGGATGAATCGTTCGAGCATTTCACCATACGGAATTCTTCGATCGGAATTTACATTCTGTTTCAATGGGAATGAAAAATGCTCGGAAGCAATTTACTCGATCTGTTCTCGAATATTCTTGGGTCGCCACGGAAATTCGTGTCGATTATTTGACACGCGACACTCGAGTCCGTATACAGTAATATTAGATCGTCCAATAGATTCATGTCGAATCACGGATTCCGACACGAATCTAATCGATGTTCAAACAGTATAAATCCTTCCATTTTACATTTTCATATTTATTCCGTGTGAATCGTTCCAACCGTAGCAGCGATGTTCGATGATTTCTATCGAAGTGTTCACTGAACGCTGTTTCCTTACGAGGGACGTACCCACGTGTTCGATACCACGAGATTGCAATTTCAATTGACGTTAGAGAACGCTTAGACGGCTCATATCGTGTACGTGCAAGGGTGATTCTGATATCTAAATAACCGCGGGACTCGAGGAGAACCGAATAAGAAGATTGAAAGAAAGAAAAAAAAAAGAGAGAATCGGTTCCGCTCACAATTTTTGCACTTTGGTAACCTTAAAATATATCCCCTGGGTCCCTTCCCCCCCCCCTCCTCCTCCCCCACCACCCAAAAAAGGAATAGGGCATACGAATATAGCGCTACGTATACACCGATTACATATGTGTACATATATTTTTGGATAAAAAAAGAACCACGGAGAAATTTTTAATCGAAATTCGGGCCGCGACACGGATCCAGATGGTTGCCTCGATCAATCCCCGATTCTCCGGCGTCGTCTCGATCGTTGACACAACAAGGTGAAACGGTTAATAAAATTGATAACGAACGTGACTACGAATAGAGATTGTTTAAACGAAAAGAATAAATATCGAAGTAATGTTTGTTTTTTTTCTCTCGTAATTCAACGCATGATCGAATACTTGACTGTATTTTGCTAACCGTCGCTTTGGGAATTCGTTCGACGATCGACGACCGAGAGACCACCCCCGCCCTACCTACCGAGGGCGAAGAACAAATATGGCGGATGACCCCCGCGGGGCCTCCAGATCCATCGAGAGAACCGTCCGATCGTGTCGGGCCGAAATGTATTTATGAATATTTATTTACGCGAGATTAAATGATGAAATGATGAAAAAGGTAACGTGTGTATATTATAAATGAATATATATATATTTACTTGTAAAGCGTTTTACCGCCTTTCGCCGTTCGATCGCGCCAAAAGAAAACTAAAACGAGCCGAACCAGCGAAAGGGATAGCGAAGCAATGTGGTGGGAGAGACAAATTGAAAGAAAAAAAGAAAAGAACAAGAATAGAATCATTCTCTCGAATGGTGAACGAGTGTGCGAACGAACGAACACGCGAGAGAAAGAAAAAATTGTGTCGCAACCGTTCTTTTTTTTTTTTTTCGTCGTATTGTGCCGTGAACGTTGACGATGTAGCGTTTTATTCCCTATTTGTAATTCGAGTTTTCGTTTTTTTTTTCTTTTTCGGCGGTCCGTTTTTGACATTTGGTGTCGTGCACGCGCGCAGAGTGGCGACGATAAACGATACAAAGGGGACCGAGCATCGATCGACGCGCGTTTCGATCGACCGGTGGCGCGTAAAAGCGCGGGAATTTCGAAATGCGCGTGGAACGACGGTACGAAACGCGGGTGTATTTGAGCGATAAAAACCACATATACACGTACATACACAGGCCATACACACACGCACGCACACATGTACACGGAATGACACGGGAAGAACACACAGATACACAGTATGCTTAGAGTTTAGTAGCGACTTCATAGACGATAAGTAATAGAATATAAAACTGATCATTGATATCGATGACTATTATCGACGTAAGAGGTACATTTAGATGATGAAATATAAGTAAGATGTAATTGTCCTTTGTGAATATACATAAGAGAGAAATGAGAAATACAAGAAACTTTTATGAGTAATGGTGACTTGAATAATTTTTCGTATCCATACACCAGAAGACAATGCCGAGGCAGAAAACGTAAAATCGTTCGTATTATACATTTTTATTATTTTTATATATTGGTCAATTAATAGAAGTCACTTCGAGTTATATACATAAGACGATATACAGAAGAAATAATCACGGTAAACTAAATTTTTCCTACTAACATTTTTCATATATAGTTAACAAACACTCGATCGACATTTAATGAGATATTCGCAAATGAAGAAGCAAAAGTTTATTGTCTGCAAAATAGATAGTAAATAGTTTTTCTACACAAATATTATGGTACCAAAAAATTGCTCCTGATCTGTTTTAATTTCGGCGCCAACTATTTTTCGGTCGTAAACCGCAGAAAAAATCTTCTGATTTTTTGCACGATCGGTATTGCAGAATATGTGACACGGCATCCCATAAGATGTTAAGTCTACTTTATACCTCGTTCGTGCTGAGACTAATGGAGGACCGTACAGTGTCGGTAAACGTTCAATCGTAAATTTGACCGAATCCTTGATGTTTTTCTGGAAAAACATTTTGTTTAACAGAACTTTTTATCTAAATTATGTATTGTTCTATAGCTCACCAATATTGCACAAAGGAATATGTCATTGTTTCATAACTATGTATGATTAGATAATTGCAATTTAGTTTGCTTCGAAATTATTTCATTTACGAATAAAATTTGTAGGTCATTTGATTGTATTGTAATTCAATTATATGGTATATGATTTAGTGTAATTTAATTGCTGTTTGTTGTGAGAACCTTTGTAAGATATTGTTACATGCTACATAAAAAACAAAAAAACAATGGCAAGTACAGAAGTAGCTGAAAATCCACCAGCTTGGGAACCGTTACGACTGACGCACATCAAACCATCTTTCAACAGTCAAGAATCAAGTCTTGCTGCTCGCCAGGACTTATGGCACAAGTTTATTCTTTATGGTACAGGAAAATACAAAGCAACTGAGGTATTAAAGAGGGTTATTGATGCCTGTGATCCTGAAATTATACTGCCTGTTATGTACAAAGAGGAGGGCCCAAACAAAAGCAAGTTTTTGGCCAAATGTAATCCTAATGCTATTGAAAATCTTGTGAAACAAGGTCTATGTGTAATTCTACAGAATGGACAAGAGTTACGTATCGATATTGTATTGGGATTCTTAGATTCTCAAGAACTAAAATTAAATCCAAATAGAATGATTGCTCAGGCATTATATTACAGATATGAACCCACAAAAAAGGTACTGAATCTTGATGACTTTGAGAATGAGAAATCATTGGGCTCTATATTTTGTCCAGTGTCTTTGCCAAAAGTATTACAGTTTGTTTTGAGGTGCAGTAGGATGGGTATCTTCAACACTAATCGTGATTCAAGATTGCCTATTCGTGAACTAAGCTTGAAGTATAATAAACTTACAGCCATTATTTTGTTTGAAAAATTTTTTAATTATCATCTAACCAAGTTGGATCTGAGGTACAATCAGATTGGTGATGTGGACTATTTGCGCTATTTCAGTGAATTTAAGATAAGTGAACTTTGGTTGGATGGGAATCCATTGTGTGAAAAATATAACAAGTGTCAGGATTATGTACAAGCTGTGAAAAATATTTTTCCTCATCTGCAGAAATTAGATGGAATTGTTATAGATACAGAGCAAAAATTTGTGCCCAATATACAAAGTAATTTCCTAAGAGATGATACAAGAAGTTGCCTAATCAAACAGTTTGTGAAACATTATTTCACATTATATGATCAAGATAATAGACAAGTAATGAATGGATTGTACGATAGAGATGCACTATATTCTATGACACTGGGGCCTGTGACAAATTATGTTCACAAACAAATAATTAAAAAATTTGTCATGAATAGGAATTTATTGAAGTTTGTTGATTATGCCAAGTGCGAAGAATTTTTATTGCGTGGTCCGGAGAAAATCATTTCTGCTCTTAGAAATCAACCCTCAACAACACATAATTTTAAATCATTTCATATAGACTTGTTGTATGAAGAAGACAGCCATCTGGCAATTTCTGTGCAAGGATTATTCTCTTTCAGAGAAATTTCATGTCCACCAATGTTTTTCAATAGGACTTTCATAATTGCACAAAAGGAAGACAATGAATACTGCATTACTAATGATCAGTGCTATCTTGATGGGGCACCTGCCAACAGTAATCTTGCAGGAAACAGTGAGATGAGGTCGGAAACAAGGAGTGCACCGAAATTTGATCCGATTGTGTTCAGTGTCTCAGAGAAGGAACAGTTATTAACATTTCTGCGTGAGCTGACTACAATGAACATGAAGTTTTGCCAACAATATCTTGAAGAAGCTCATTGGGATATAAGAACTGCTATTACAACATTTATGAACATGTATACAGTTAATAATGTACCACCAGAAGCCTTTATATGACATACCAGCATTTTCTAATACTAAAAATATGCAATATTATTTATATCATATGTACAGCATAAGAAAAAGTCTTGTAAGTTTGGGTACAAATTTATATGTATATATACATGATTGTAATTATATTAGGATTAGAAAAGTAAAAATTCAAAATACATATATGAAAGATTGACTTTCTTTGTTATATACAGAATAGTATTGTATAATATTTCCATTAACATCTCTTGGAAAATAATGTATTTACAATTCTTTAACGAAAATAAAATAAGTTCAATGATTCTTTTTTTCTATAAAAAATCTTTAATCTTATTTTATACAAAATAAAAAATTACAATTTTAGTAATATTAACAACCTTGCTGGGTATTTAACAGAGCAATAGTTTTATTTATATACGGTATAGTATTCACATTTGAATTTACTCCTAATTCAAATACCTTCTGCATCAATGGTAAAGCATGTTCTGGAATGAAATGCAATTTATCAAAGTACGACGTATACCAAATAAAATAAGAGTTAAAAAAAAGGATGCTTTACCTTGCATACACAGTACAATCTCTGGCAATTTTTCCAGAGCCGACATTAGTACATCAGCCCTAGGGCTATCTAGGCATCTCTGAAACGCGTGCAATATATTTGCATTTGTCGCTGGACGATATTTTAGTGCTCTTGCCAGTAAAGTATGAGCAAGAGTCCTTATGTTGCCCTGAGGAGACACAAGTAGCTCGGCTATATTATCCGCTATGGGTTCCAAAACTGAAGGTTTTCGAGATGACAAATGCTCAATTTCCTGAAGAGCATTGAACACGTCTGAAATGAATGAATGAATGAATTATTTATATTGAGAATATCGATCGAGATAATCAATTTATGATTGATATTGAAATGTGTATAGCGTAATAATATATCGCCATACCGTCACCATGCAGCTTGGCCAACGTGGTCAACAATGATGGCCAATGTTGAGGAATAATGGATTCTGAAGGGGGTGGGGTAGGAGGAACAGTGATTAAAACCTCCTCTAGGTCTTCCCCTTCTCTTGGCACAGGAATACCTGACACAAGTGTTCTGAGTGTAACTAGATTTGGATAATGTACCTGCAATTCACTACATGTAAGTGTAAGCTGATGTCTGAAGTTTGGTAGAAGAGATCAAAGGTATTACTTACTGAAGAGCTTGAGCATGCTTCTGTAAATATTTCAATGCCCGTTGTGGATCATAAGAAATATATGCCTGCAGTAGTGTAATGAATCTATTTAAGATTGGTATGAGTTCTTTTATCGGCCCATAATTCTGTAAATAAAATTAATCTGTAGTCTTTAAGTTTATACAATTCACAATGTATATCGATGTTGCTTAATGTACCTGGAAGCACTGAAAGTAATTTTCTAATGTGTCTTCCAAAGCAGTCCGATGTTCTGCCCTGAACAAATGCGGTTGCAATAATTCTAACAGACCCATTATTTGGATAAAAAGATTCAAATGATGACCGGACCGAAACTGACTAAAGTCCAAGTAACATCTGCCCATTAAGGACGATGCTAACATTGGAAGCTGTCGTAACACTAATATTGGATGGACGGCGGCCATTTTTCTAGCGCACATTTCGAATTCTTGAGACCTAGAATTCCATGACTTCTGTCTTGGTGTTGCTGCCAGTGCCGTTAACAAAGAGTGACTCATACAATCCAAAACAGAACCTGTCCAGTCTGTAATTTTTGCTCCCCCAACAAACTTTTTCGTTTGAAACGTGTCTAAGTAACAGATTACCTTGGGAATCTTCATGTACATATGTAACAAAAACTGATGCGCCATGTCGGAATCGACACTGAAAAATTAAAATATGGAATTACGTATAAGTTTATAAAACAGAAAAATACACTAGAGCATGGAATGAATAACATACTTCGGATCATACATCATACGATCCGCCAAGTATCTCACAACACTGGAGACCAAATGATCGTCCATGGAGATGCAATGTAACAACAAATCAAGACGAGAGTCCATCCCGGCTAAAGCAACGTTTCTACTTTGGCAATTACAAATGATAACAGCTTCCGCAACTATATATGCTACAAGCGTCAACAACTGTTTCTCGTGTAAAAGCAAAATATTCTCTGGGACATAGTGCTTTGGCGTAAATTTGTCCCTGCCTTGCCAAAGTTTCGGATTGCAAGTTAAAGCCCACAGAAAATCCAGGACAGCGGTTGGATCATACCTACAAATGTAACGTTTCATTTTTATTACATTATATTAAGTTCTTAAAAAACGTTGTAAACTTACCCATCGTCGCATTTATCTAATAGATGTCCGACGCATTTGTATAAAGTCGCCCAGCTCGCTCTGTGCGTTAACAAAGTTAGCAAATAAGGCCTAAAAGAATGTGAGTTCACAACGTTATTGTCAACTTTCATCTGTATTTTCGTTTTCCCAAAAAGAAGCTTCATTTGCAGATTGGGACATGTACCAATCAACTCCGGCTCTACGGAAGCTAACCAGTCTATCAACAAGCCTGTTCTTTGTTTTCGAACGCCTTCGTTACTATCATTTACCAATAACCTCGCCATAGCCTCAACAAGAATATCAGTCTTTTGTTGCTTGAAACAAATGTCTAACAATTTCCGTCCAACGGCTTCTAAGTTCACAGGATCCTTACTCTCCAGGATAGATTCAGGTTCGCAATACTGCATCAACATTGTTAGCTCCATGCTCTTCGGCGTTTTGGTCAACTGTACATTCGCAAAGTCTCGTAAAATTGAGAGAACCGGCGCTTTTACATCTCCTATCAGTTGTATTAGATTCAAACACATGTTGCGCGCCAATTCTACCATCTGCTTGGAGGTAAACGATTTCTTCAAAGGGAACAGTATTATTCGCATTAACGTGCAAGAGTATTGTGGCATATGAACAAGGGAAGCCAAGAACTGTTTCACTTGCATCGAACTCAACACACTGCATATGTGCTGTATCGCCAATACAACAGCACCACTCTCTTTGGCAGATTTTTGTAAATCTTTTGCCAACGTTTTGTGCAACCGACGATAAGCATCCACCTTTTGATTCATCGGTATATTCTCTATAAACAGTCTATTGATTAGATGAGGAACGTCTGTTTTAACGGAACACTGTATGACAGATTGTTTTTGAACTGTAGCGCTGGGAGGCAACGGTTCTTGCAACTGTCCTATAGTCACCAGATTCTCGTCGGGTAATTGTGGTTCCATCAATTGTAAAACTTGCACGAACACTAACCCGCCCGTGGCTCCTCTCCTATGTTGAACCTCAACCAATTGCGCCATGTACGTTTTGTCGAGCACTGCTTCGCCAACCGAATCTGGATCTATTTGCACCCCCGCGTCCAGAGTATGAAGCAATTTGCTCATCGATGGTACAGGAATACCGAAACTTTGAATAAACAGTACCAACTGTTGTGGTTCTAGGTCTTTAAGAGCTGCGTCCACGAGACGCGGCACGTTACTCCTGATCATTCTTAATTTTAACCAATCCGGTATAAGTAAAGCTTCTTCGCTTGTGTCGACCAAAAAAGCTTTCGGGGGCTCTGCGTTTAGTGGGAACCACGTTTCGAGCAGAACGTTAAACAGCACATCATCGTCGGATGAATCATACGTTAAAAGAATGATCATAGCATGAACAACCAATATATGCATTGTGCATTCTTCTCCTGTGCTCCATTGAACCAAAATCTGGTCCTGGCTCTCCGACCACGTATACTCTTCACCCCTAGGGGATCGAGCTTTTTCTAAATAATTACAGAAAATCGCCATGAAAGCGTGTAAAGTTTGTTTAGCGTGCGGATTATCGCTTTCCGTTTGCGGCAAAATAGCCGCTATAATCGTACTCCGCTCGACCACTAGCTGAGAAATCTCATTGGCCAGATCGGTTAATTCTGGTAGCTCATCGTCGGTAGTATGAGCGGCTAGGTATGATATGTAGGCGTGTACAAGATCCGGATTGTTTTCGACTTGACAAGCTCCGCGAAGGGCAGTAGAAACCAAAGTCCGTACCGACAGGAAATGAGGTATAGATGGTAACTTGCGAAGAAGCCAGAGCTCTCTGAAAACAAAAATCCGCTTTAGCTTTCAATCTAAAACAATTTCATGATAGATGTATTTACTGAATTACTTGTCATTTTCTACATCTATATCCATGGGTTCTTCCTCGGTAGGTATAGATCCAAGAACCATTTTCAAGCCAGTGATTGCTTGGAGACGACTGTTCGTCTGTTGGCTGCTCAATCTTCGTAGAAAGTATTCTAAAACTTCGTAAGCGTGTTGACGATCTTGTTCTGTATCGGTTAATAACAATTGAAGGTGAGCCAATAATTGTTGCTGTCTGGGTTGCTTTTCTACTGCTTGAGTACTTGTGGATAACAAAAATTCGCATAGGCATTGTACAGGTAATTGACTAAGGGACCCTTCGCTATTTTGTACAAGATCTGCCAACCAAGGCATGCTCTGGGATGAGCTTTGCTGTTGTCTTTGTATTATGTCTAACAAAAAGTCTGGTTTCCGAGATCGACAAAGGAAATGCCCCAATCTGTGAGACACGTTCAATGATTGTATCTGTTCTAATACAGCTAGAGGCGGCCTCCTTGCGATACCGGTTGGTTCCATGGTGATTAGTTGAGACAACAGCAAACTGTTTTGTTCTGATATCTGTATCCTCGTCGAAGCAGCTGCCAAATGTGATTCATACTCGAGTATTTCTTGCTTCTCAATAGCTTCCACTTGCAATTCTTTCGAACGTTCTTGTTCTATGATCTCTGGTAGAGCCATTGTTGGTGGAGGATATGAGAAGTGGCTACAAAATAATATAGTATTAAAATTAATATTGTATATACTTGATTGGTAGTAGTTTTATATTTGAAACTTAAAAAACTGTATACACACTTGGTAATACACATTTCCATGAGAGTTCTTAATATAGGATATCGCTTCCATGCAACAGCGCCGATGGCGGATGGATTATGGGCAGCTAATATCAGTAACATTATCCAGCCTTTCCAATATAAATTCGATATTGCCAAAGTTGGCGGTACATAACTGCACAAGAAAAATATGAATAATAATAAATACAAATATACATACACATTACTGAATTTATAATATTACAAGTATTTAAAGTACCTCGATGGTATATTTATGGTACCGGGTGGCTGATAGATACAAAGATTGAAAATAAGTTCAATTATATCTAATTTATCTGCCACTAAAGTTGGAAAACTTTCAGTTGAATTACCCGCTGCTCGTCGTATTAACTGGTCCACCAAATCTAGCGTTTCCGAATGGGTGATACCATTTTCCTAGAATATACAGTGTCTATAATTCTAGTACTAATATAAGAAACGATATTACAATTTTTAAATACTTACCTTCGAGTAACCAATTAATAACAACCTCAATAGCGTGTTCTGCAATAAAGGAACATCAGAAACCAGTCGCAAATAGAACACTCTATCCGATTCAGGAGGCCAATTGTCCAATTTATAGTATTGTTCTGGTGATTCGAGCAATAAAATTTTATGTAGAGCATGCAAAAGTTCGTTTCTACCGATAGCGTACATTTGTGGAGCTAAATTCTGCAACCACATTACAGCTTCAAATTGAATTGTTGCTACCATATTTTGAAATTGATGCAACAAAGCTATGTCTTTTTTATCGCCTCTTTGCGCCAATGCTGCGGCTTCCTTAACTTGCGGACTGATAGCTAATAACATACATAAGCACAACAAATCCGCAATAGCAATGAAAACTCGTTCTTTAAATTCGAAGTTTAGCAACTGTTGCGCTATATCCTGTCTCTCGGACATTAACGTGCGCGCGAAGGTGATTAAATTGATATCATGTCGACAAACACGAACTATTTCTCTTAGCAAGGCACGCAGAGGTCGGAGATAATCCTCTCGGTTCATTAATAAATCTTGAAATATTTCTGCAAGTAATTTCGCCGACTGTTCGGGTAAAGTTTGAAACATTACACCTAACATTGGCATATTATTTGGATTTCGTGCATTAGATAATTCATTATAAATTGTGTGTTTCAAAATGGTAGACAAGTTTTCTGGATGCAAGCCAATTAGCTCCTTCACGCCGTTCAGATATAGATTAATCACTGCTTTGGTCTTCAATCTCATTTTTACTAATTGACTTATAACTTCGACATCCCTCTGTGTATGGGTAGTGCTGTTGTAACAGATATAACTCAACAATTCCTGAGCAGGCCTCATTAGTTTAGGGTTGTGCAGCCACATCTCTAATCTTGGAACAGCAATGTTTCGTATTTCTACAAAACCACAGGCTGAAGACAGTAACTTCAAGAAGTTTTTAGTAATTGACTCAGGTTGCCTTCTATTTAGCTGCTCTTTTATAGCTTCAAGAACAATAAATTCTATATTTTCTATACAATGAGCGTATCTAGGGGTGACAGGGAAATCTATTTTTTCTTTATCTCCAGAAAACTGTGCCGACGAAGACCCTGGATCTTCATCGTCCACCGTAGATGGACTGTGACACTCCCGTGGCGTTAAAACAGACAGTTCTGGTTGTAAAGCGCTCTTTGGTGGATGTCGTGTGTTAAATCCCGTTAAAATATTATCAACAAAACCTTTGCATTCTTCGTGATCGACCCATACTCTCTCACCTAAAGCATCCTCGATGTACAGCTACGAGAAAAGAAACGAATATTAATTACAAATTAAATATAATTAAGACGAACATTAACAGAATATATGTATAAACAACCTTAACAAAAACTTCTGGCCAATTTCTTTTATCATGGAACCCTTTCATTAATAAATTAGCTGCAAGCACAGGAACCAATGGGTTTCCTTTGGATTTATAATTGTGTGCTTGATCTCGTTTTAGCAATGCAGAAAGTGCAAGTAATATACAATCGTGTGAAAAAATAGATGGACGAATTTTTGCTAAATACAACAATCCCATGTAAATCAATGTGTCTGGCTTCCATTTCTGATTCTTAAGTGTTTTTATGGCACCACAAATAATGCCAATAACTTTATCACCTTCATCATTATCATTAGCTTCTAAAACCATTGGAACAAAGTCTGCTGGATCACTGTCAATGGTTACCAATTCCCAAGCCTCAGCACTTGAGAATGGTGGTCTTTGATGAGAGGCATGGACTGCAAGCTTTGGTTTCTTTTGAGGAATATATTGAAAAGACTGAAGTGATCCCGATGGTGCATCTTTCTTCCTATCATTACCTATGCATATACATCAAAATTATGAAAATTATTTTTAAAAAACATTCTGTTTAATTTCTGTCATACTGTTGTTAAATGAGATTGGCATATTACTATAAAAGAATCTTATTTACCAGAGGTAGAAGAACTACTACTTGGTTTGGAATGAATAACACCGGGCCTTTTTGCATCCGAACTTTCATTGCGGGAACCTTTAGATCCAAGAGCAAACAAATCAGGAGGATGTTGAGCAATCTTGCTTTTCGCGCCCCTACTAATTCCTGCCTTTGCACGATCCATTATAATTCTTACCTTTTCTAAATTGGTAAACAAGAAACAAAATTTTAAACTAGACTGACTATTATTTTGAAACATGTACGGAATAAATATTACAAGAAAATTTGTATGTAATAATTAACTTTACGTAATATTTAAATTCTTAAAAAAGTGCCATAAAATAGTAAAAAGAGAAATGTTTTCTCTGAAATACTCTAACCTATTCAACATTTATACAGTCGATATCCAGGAAGCGTTCTTCCAGAAAGTAATTCTAACATTTCACATTGTTAATGACATCAGTTCTTCAAATTACTTTATTACAATCGACAATGGAGATGTAATTATATTTTTTTCTGTCAGCAAATTAATGTTTTACAAACAGAACGATTGTGAACGGTCGTCCGACAACATCCGACAACAGTAGCAGACACCGCTATCGATACCGCCTTCCTTGAAGATTCAATAAATCGGAATCGATAGTATGCTATATTCGAGAATTCAAATATTCTTTTGTTATACTTAAATATGAATATGTAAAATATAATAAAATAAAGTTTTCGACAATGAATTAATAGAATTTTAATGTTTTTGAACTTAATAAATTCTTCAAAGACTCATGTATCCAATTCTCGAATACTCTATGTAATCCTTTGTAGTATTTGTACGCCTCTAGTGGTGAATCCAGAAGCTCCAGAAAATATCATAGACGAGGTATAAGCACAGACAAGATATAAGAATAGACTTGTCACCTTATCACGTACCCCGTTACGTCTAGAGCAGTGTAAATAAATGGTCTAGATTGGTCTAGATCCGCCGGTGATTCTGCCTGGCACCGACAGAGAGCTATTATTCCGCAGTGCCCGCTTCTATTCCACTTATGTAATATCTCAGACGAGATATATGAATAAACCTAACATGCAATGTAATTTTCTGCCCATGCTCTCCGTCGGTGTTAACGCGTCCGAGGAATTTCAGGGGTCTATGGGGGGAGGTGTGCGAGCGAGAGAATACGGTAGAGCGTGCCGAGTATCGGTGCTCTCCGTCGATCCAACGCGCTAGTGAGTTGCGTCACCCAGTTTATTGACTTAGCCGTGTACGCCGTGTACCAAGGTCGTACCATCCCGTGCAGGTCTGTGCTTGCTTCCTCACTTTGTCGTGAACCGTCGC